AAGGAGTTTTTGGACATTTTGGAAAGCTTGTAATGTGCTATACAACTAATCTTTGAATTTATTTTAAATATTCCCCTTAGAACTATGTGAAAAATTGGCATGAAGTTAGGTAAAAAACCTGCCTAACTAGGGCAAAATTTCACTAAGTTATTTTAGTTCATGAGCATGTATTCACAAAATTATATATTGAGATTCAAGAATTTTTAGGAGAAATTGTGTGAAGTAAAGTTGTATATTTCATGGAGATCTACAACTTTCATGTTGGAAATTTCCTTTGAATCATCTTGTATCATGGTGAAAATTTGGCTCAAAGTTGAGAAAAAATAAGAAATTTTCTATACTTAGAAAAATTTCTAAGTTAAGAAATTTCAAATTTTCAAAGCAAAATCTTAAATCCTTGATTTCTTGATGAACAAGTTTCACATTTTGACATGTCTTGATGAATTATGATCCTTGGCACTTGATTTTGACCAAAAAGTCAAAGTTTGACTTTTCAGTATACAGTTGACTTTTGATTAGTTGACTGAAAAATTCATCTGTCAATCCAATGGATTTGTAATGTTTTGTACCATGTAACTAGGTCAATATGATGAAATTGAACTCTTGAAATCATGCTCTAAACCAATTGATCATTTGCTAGGTCAAAAATCAGAAATTGCCTCTTCCTAATAAAAACCCTAATTTTGACCATTTTGCCCTTTTGATGATTTGATTAAATTTCTTGAGGAGTTGTGGTCAAAACTTGATCAAATGATACATATGAGTCTAAGATGTTGATGTGGATAAAAAATTATGAAGTTTGACTGTAAATTGGCCATGGTTGACTTTTTCCCCAATACAGATGATTTTTAGGTCAACTGTTCAATTCACTGATCAAAAGTGTGATTTAAGGCTTGAAACTTGACATGAGTAATCTTGGGGGTCCATAATGATCCTTGAAAGTCATATGAAGCATTGATAGTACAAAAATCCTTGTGCAAACTCAAACCCTAATTTTGGTCATCAGTGCATGAGGAGGTGTCTTGAGCTGGTCAAACCCTAATGCAGTCTCGAATCAAAGAGATCTTGTGAGGAAATTATTGATGAATGAGAGGGAAAATTTTGGGGTACAACAATGAGACTTCAGAATTTTATCCTTTGCAGTTGAACTCTTATTCTTTGAGTGTCACATACTCACACAATCAAAACCCTTGATCCCACACATATGAATTAATGCAATGTAAATGTATGAATGATGATGAAGCATAAGCTTAAAAGGTACGAAACACAAGAGGGCAAATTTTAGGGTGCAACAAGTGGCGACAAGAGATTTATGCGCATAATTGATAGATTTCTGGTGGAGGATCCTATTTTTAGTAGATAGGGGATTATTGGTAAATTTATTGGGGATAAGGACATTTCTGACCACTGCCCAGTTTGTCCTGTCATCAACAAGGAGGATTGGGGGCCGAAACCATTTTTGGTAAATAATTGTTGGCTTGATAATAAGGAGTTTCTTTCTTTTGTGGAGTAAGTTTGGAGGAATATTAAAGTGGAAGGTATGGGAGACTTTGTTTTAAAGGAAAAGTTTAGGCTTCTTATAATTAGCCTCTGGAGATGGAACATTGAAGTGTTTGGGAGAATCGAATTGTAAATAGAGGAAAATAAGAAGAATATGAATGAGACAGATGTTTTATTATCTTCGTGTAGGGAGGATCAAGTAGAGGGGGTGGTGGCGTTTAGAATTTAAGCCACTAGTCGTATGTGGTTGCATATGAAAATCAAAGAGAATATGTTTCTACAAAAGTCTATATTGCAGTGGGACTCGGAGGGGGACATGAATAGCAAATTTTTTCATTGTGTCATGAAATCCAGGCGTAGGAGTAATTTCATTAGTTACATTCGAACACATGGAGGGGTGGTGGAGTCGGTTGGGGATGTTAAGAAGGAGGTTAGAAAACATTTCACCAAGAAATTTGTGGATACCGATTTCAATCGTCCAATTCTTGATAGGGTTTCTTTTGATTATCTGTCTCAGTCGGATCGGGATTCTTTGGAAGGTTCATTTTCTAATTTGGAAAATAAAGAGGCTGTTTGGAGTTGTGAAGGATCAAGGAGCCCGGGTCCGGACGATTATAATTTCTTCTTCATTAGAAGGTGTTAGGAGTTTCTTAAAGACGACTTTCGGTGTTTTTTTAATGATTTCCATGCAAACGGTACTCTTTCTAAGGCTATTTCGTCTTCTTTTCTTATTTTGATTTCTAAGAAGTTGAATCCTTGTAATCTTGATGATTATAGACCCATTTGATTGGTGAGATGTATTTACAAAGTGCTCTCTAAATTGTTGGCAACTAGATTGAAGAGGGTTATGGATTCCTTAACTTCTAAGTGTCAAAGCGCTTTTGTCCCGGGTAGGTTTCTTTTGGACGGTGTTTTAGTGGCGAACGAAGTGGTTGATTATGTAACAAAGTCTAAGAAGGGTTTCTTGCTTTTTAAACTAGATTTTGAAAAAGGCTTATGATAAGGTGTGTTATAATTTTTTGAGGTATATGTTGAAACAGATGGGATTCAGAAACTTATGGATTAAGTGGATGGAAGATACCGTTTTCTCGAGTTGGATGTCGGTGCTTGTTAATGGTAGCCCAACTAAAGATTTTAAAGTTGGTAGAGGGCTTAGACAAGGCGACTCGCATTCTCCGTTTCTCTATGTTATTGTTGTGGAGGGGCTGGCTAATTTAGTGAGGCAAGCCGTTCAGATTAAAGATTTTTCTAGTTTCTCAGTGGAAGGAAATTGAGATGTGGATGTTTTACAATTTGCAGACGACACTCTCCTAGTGGGTAATGGGAATTAGAAGCATGTTTGGGAGCTCAAGGCGGTTTTGAGAGGTTTTGAAGTGGTGTCGGGGCTCGGGGTTAATTTTCACAAAAGTAAGCTGATTGGGATTAATTTGAATCTGCATTTTCTTTTAGATGCGACGAATTTTCTTTCTTGCAGGTTAGAAGATAAGTCTTTTTCTTTTCTAGGATTCCTATTGGCTCAAATCCAAGAAGGGTTTTGTGGTGCAATCATATTGTTTTGAAGTTAAAGGATAGGTTGGCGGGTTAGAAAGGGGAATTACTCAGCCTTGGCGGTAGGATCACTTTAGTTAAAGAGGTGTTTTCTAGTTTATCTAGTTTTCAACTTTCTTTCTTCAAAGCCCCTGTTAAGATTTACAAAGAAATTGAAAAGATTTATAATAATTTTCTTTGGGATGTAAATCTTGAGAAGAGGAAAATTAATTGGATTTGTTGGGATCTGCTTTGTTCGCCTCTAGAGAAAGGGGTTTTAGGCTTTAAAAGCTTCAAAGAATTCAATGCGATGTTACTTTTCAAATGGAAATGGAAAATTCTCAAGGGGATGAAGGTGCTTTGGACAGATGTTTTGTCTGCTAGATACGATAATATTAAATATCAGCTTCTTTCTGGCTTTAGCTCAGGAGCATCCAAAGTTAAATCAGTGTGGTGGGCTGGCATTTTGTCCTTCGAATCAAAGTTGTAGGTATCAAGTTTAATGCAGAATTGTACTTTTGTGTTAGGCAGTGGGGAGGACATTCCTTTTTGGAGCGTCGTGTGATTCTGTAACAGGCAATTGATGGACGTGTTCCCGGATCTTTTTGCAAACAGTGAGTTGAAGGGTATTGTTGTAATCAAAACAGGGTCGTGGCAGGGGATAGCTGGGTATGGGACTGTTTCGGAGTCCCTATTTTTATCTTTCCTCGTCGACAACTTCGGGCGGTGTTTCAAATCTGCAGATTTTTTTGGATGGTGTTTTTCCGGACAGCAGTCCCGGTGACACAGTGGTTTGGAATCTAGATCCAACAAAGGGGTATTCAACTAAGTTCGGCTACGACGTCTTGTCTCGTGCTCTCTGCAGTCTTGATTTGGGTCAAGGTTCAATTTCTAATATTGCTTTGATTTGGAAATCTTTTATTCCCTAGATGTGGAATAGACTTCCATCTAGGGACCTTTTGTTTCGAAGAGGGATCACTAAATCTCACAATGAGCTTCTTTGGTGTTTTTTGCTTCGAAGAGATTGAATCGATAAATCATATTATGTTGGATTTTTACTTTTCCAAGTTGGTTTGGAGACAAATTCTAACTTGGTGCGATTTTCAGTTCGAAATGGGAGAAATCATTTGGAAAAGTTTGAGTGATTGGAGTAAGGAATATAGGAAAATAGAAATCAAGAAGGTTAAAGATGATCTTTTGTGATTGGCAGTGGTGTGGGGTATTTGGTGTCTTAGGAACGATGTGTTTTTTAATGAGGCCAAAGCCGAATTATCGGATTTAGTTTGTGATATCAAATTGAAGGTTTGAAAATAGAATCATATCGGTAATATTTCTAATTCTAAGTGTAATTTTTATGAGTTTTGTAAAATTTCTTTACAATATTTTAATTAAGTTTAAATTGGTTAGAAGTGTTTCTTTTCCCGAGTTTTGTTCGTAAGCGAATTCTAATACCCTTAATGCTCTTTCTAATGAATTTCTTACTTATAAAAAATATATATAGACTTGTGTCTCTAAGAAACATCATCCACTATATACACTTTTAAAATATAAGTGAAAGTTGTACAAAATAAAATTTAAAAGTTTTTTTTTCAATGAATGACATTCAACATTAATTGTTCCAACATAACTTGATGACAAAACATACATGATTTATACATGTTGGTAGGTAGGTGTTTTATTTTGTGTTAGCATAGCAAAGCTCATAATGTATCATACATTTTGAAACGATGATATGCCAAAATGCTGCCAATATTTTGTACATGTGTATGAATGCGCCCACAAAGTTACCAATCTACCAGCTGGAAACATCAAAACCTTTGTCAGTTTGCCTCCATCTCCTTTCCCCTTTATAAACTACAAACAAAACAATCTCACTTGCATCATCATATCATATCACTCTACTCTATCTACAAATTCAAAATTTTGTCTGCGCTTTTCTCTCTACTTCATTTCTCAACTCAAAACCCAACCAAATGTCTTCTAGTTCTAGTTCTCCCATGTTGTTGCTCCTCCTCATTACAACACTCTTCATTTCACATTCTTCATCTCAAATGCAACTATTACCTCTAACACACTCACTTTCCAAAACACAACAATTCAACACCACTCACAACCTCCTCAAATCCATCACCACTCGTTCCATATCACGCTTCCACCACCACAAACACCACCATCAACTCTCTCTAGGATCCGACTACACTCTCTCTTTCAACATTGGTCCTCACTCTCAACCCATCACTCTCTACATGGACACAGGAAGTGACCTTGTCTGGTTCCCTTGCACCCCTTTTAACTGCATACTCTGTGAACTCAAACCCAACCCTTCTTCTTCTTCTTCTCCTCCCCACACCAACATCTCCCACAGCGTTCCCGTTTCATGCAGCTCCAAAGCATGCTCTGCAGCATTCAGTTCCATCTCTTCTTCCAATCTCTGTGCAATGGCTCGTTGCCCATTATATTACATAGAAACCAAAGACTGTGGTTTCTTTCACTGTCCACCGTTTTACTATGCATACAGCGACGGAAGCTTAATCGCTCGTCTCTATCGTGATACACTTTCTCTTTCTTCGCTGCAACTCAGAACTTCACATTCGGTTGTGCTCATACCACGTTTTCAGAACCCACCGGAGTTGCTGGGTTTGGCCATGGCTTAATCTCTCTCCCAGCTCAGTTAGCTAAACACTTTCCTCAGCTTGGAAACCGCTTCTCTTATTGTTTGGTTTCCCATTCGTTTTGTCGTGAATGAGTTATAAAACCGATTCCACTCATATTGGGTCGCTACGAGGATGAAAAACAGAAAAATATTGGTGGTGGTGAAGTTGTTGAGTTTGTGTATACTTCAATGCTTGAGAATCCAGAGCATCCTTATTTTTACTGTGTTGGTTTAAAAGGAATCTCCATCGGGAAAAAGACCGTTCCGGCATCGCGGATTTTGCAGAGGGTGAATAAGAGAGGTGACAGTGGTGTGGTTGTGGATTCCGGTACGACCTTTAAGATGTTACCGGCGGGGTTTTATAACCCAGTGGTAGCGGAGTTCAACAGGCGTGTTAGTCGAGTTCACCGGCGGGCTCGTGAGGTTGAGATGAAAATAGGGCTTTCGCCGTGTTACTATTTGAACTCGGCGACAAAAGTGTCGGTGTTGAAACTTCATTTTGTTGGGGTGAATTCAAGTGTGGTTCTGCCTAGGAAGAATTACTTTTATGAGTTTTTGGACAGTGGAGATGGGTTGAAGAAGAAGGGGAGAGTAGGTTTTTTGATGTTGATGAACGGTGGAGATGAGTTCGAGAATGGTGGTGGGCCCTGGGCGATTCTTGGGAATTATCAACATCAGGGATTTGAAGTTGAGTATGATCTTGAAAATAAGCGCGTGGGTTTCGCTAGGAGAAAGTGCGCGTCGCTTTAGGATCGTCTCAATTGCGACAGAAATTAGCTTATACGTGTTATGGTTCATACACACGTGTGTTCTTGAGTGGTGAATCATGTATATATTTTATGTTAGTGAGGTGAAAAAATAGTTGTAGGACGAACATGGGGAAGGAATCATGTACACAGAAGAATCCAACAACATAAGAAATGAAATTCCAAAATGATGAGTTAAATTCTCTTAACTTAGTTTGGGTTAGGGCTGGACAACGGTCTGTTTGGGTTGAATTCGGATTTAATATGTTAAATTGTTCGAAACTATTAATGTAATTCTTTCGTCCAATTCTGATTGAATTTAAAATCAATTTAGTCAGATTCGATTCAATCGATTTATCGGTTAAAATGAATCGATTTATTTATAATTGATATTCAATTTTGTAATAAAAAATAATACAAATCCCTATTTAACATGATAACTTCATAACCATAATCTTTTTTCCTGGTATTGTTGGATGCACAGCTTGAACCATAAAATCACAACCAATATCACCATTATAGTAATCTTCACTTATCTATGAATGCTTAGACTTCTACTTTCTAACACTTCCATTTCACTTCCAGTTGTTGTATGGATGAGGCTTGGTGAATTGATTGTTTCTGTCAAAAATTATACTTGTTCCCTATAGTACCAATATGATAGAAGATTTTAACAAATTTTTTAGTAAATTTGTAAAATTACATATCACATAAATATAATAAAATTATAATAAAATGTCTTACCCATTCTGTGAAAACTTTAAACTTGTTGGTTGTCCCAATGAGTTTCAAAAAATTAGGTTTGTGTTGTTGAATCTAAGTAATTTGTTTAGAAAATTATTTTAATATTAATATTAATTTAGAAAAATATTTTAAAGTATAGAAAATAAATAAAATTTAGTTTTAAATATTAATAAAAAATATGTTTAAATTAAAATATTTTTAATTTAATTATGTTAAGAAAATATATTTTTATATTTTTGGGTTAAATTATAAATAAATAAATAAATAAATAAATGAAATATAGAAAATATAAAAGAAATAAAAATAATTGGGTCTGGGTATCAAAAGGAAACAGAGATTGAAAAGAAAAATGGGGCGTTGGGCCCAAATATATTTTTTGTTTCAAATCAGAGAAAATGATTAAAAAAATGGAATGGGCTTGGTTGCTAAAAGTAATACGGAGGGTGTATGAAATCAAAAACAAAAAGGCCCAAACATCTCCAGCCTAGCCCCTGTTTTGGGGTTCCATGTGAGTAGCCTATGAGAGTGCATCATGGTCTCTCCATTATGAGTGTTTGATTTGATTGCCTGGCAGATTTAATGGTATGGATAAGAGAAGTATCATGCGTGTCCTTAGCTTGCTTGCATTGAATTTGAAATAGCAAAATATGTGAAAAAATAAAAGGGTACCACTGGGGCTCGAACTCTGGTCCCTATACACTAATGTCTTATGCGCGCTTCCTCTGCCACTGGGGTGGCTGTTTCATCCGTTTATAGAACAAGTTGCAATAAATTTAAAATAAACTCATTCATAATTATAACTTCATCTTCTTCCTCGCGCCAGCATCTTCATTGTTACATTTTTGAATTTCTGAACTTGCTCATTTCTCAACCATTTTCAAAAGTGTAAACATGAAACTTGCTCCATTTTTCAACACAAATTCAACCATGTAAATAACTAAAGCTATAAATCAAAGATGAACACAGATTTTGTTTGGTACCAAATAAAACCTAATTATTTCAGAAAGTTCAACTTCAAAATTTACATCACTCTAGCAACATAAATGAAAACTAAAGGCGTGGTTAGCTTCAGGACAATGATGTCTACATTTTTCATTCACAAAGTAACCATTAATGATGCTTGTAGAGAGAGTTCAAAGTTAAGAAAACTTACCTCAAAACTGGAAATCATGTATGGAGTTTGAGCACCCCTGGAAGTGTGGTGATGATCTGGATAGCTTCACTGGACTCCTAGGAAGCTAATGCAACTCTTACTTTATGCTGAAAGTGCCTGAATTGTGTTGGATAAGTCAACTTGTAGGTTTGAATATTTGGAAATGGAGGATGATGAAGATGAAGTTACAGTGCTGAAACAGGGATGAGGATGAGTTATATATGAGGTATGGAAGCTTTATGATTTATTAAAAGTGAAAACGCATGAGTGGATTGTGAGATTGGTGTTTAAAGTCAGAAATGACAAGTTATGGAGATTTTTGTACAAATTCTAGTTTGAGGGAGTTTGAGAGTGTTAGAGGGCTTGTAAACTCGTGTGTTAGCTTGCAAATGACTCCTCTATTTATAGACGGAAGGTTTTGAAGGCTCTAACAATCAGAAATCAAGAATCACATGTTATGGCTATGTGACTTGATTTTGAAGTAAACTTGAAATTCATGGTTTCAATGTGAAGTACAAGGGCTTGTAGGGTGGTTAACAAGTTGTAGATGGTTTCTTCTTGGCTTTGACATTGTGTGTGCTCAGAATAAACAAGTGCAAGGTTCAAGGAGAGTGAACTTGGTGATTAAAGCCACTTTTCCAAAATAGAAGTCTTGACTTTCTTCCCTAAATGGAATGATCACTTCAACAATGAGTCAAATGCTTGGATAATGGCTCAATCAGTTGTGTAAACATCTGATTATGGATAGATATGCAAGTTAGAAGCCTGCAAAGCAAGATTTATGCAGCATGGCTTGAGATTTGTTCAAGTGTTCTTCATGAAAATGGCCTATAATTCAAGAATGGATGTCCAACTTCTTCTCTTCGATTCTCTTAGCTCAAGTATTACCTCTTCAAGTTCTTGGACATTTTGGAAATATAGAAACAATTTCTACAACCTCCATGTTAACCACTTTGGCTAAATCAACTTGGAACTTGGTGAAAAATTTCCAAGTTGGGACAAAAAAATCTGCCTAACTTGATGAAAATTTCACTAGGTATTTTTGATAAAAAGTCATGACTTCATGAGCCCATATCTTCAAATCCAAGAATTTTTTGGACATCAACCCTAAGGGAAAAAGTTGTAGAATTCATCAAGATCTACAACTTTCATGTTGAAAGTTTTCCTTGAATCATCTTGCATCTTGGTGAAAAATTGTCATGAAGTAGTAAAATTATCAAGGTTAAAAAACACTTAGAATTTTTTCTAAAGTATTGAAAACTTTCACTTTTTGTGTGTTGTACCCCAAAATTTTCTTTCTCATTTTACTCAATACATACTCCTAGATATCCTCAATTTGCTCAAGTTTACCAAGAGTTGACCAGACAAACTCTCTGCTAAGGCAGTGTGTCTCAAATTAGGGTTTCCACTTTCATCAAGATGTGTGGATCACAAAGGCCCCAAATTCTTTCCAAGGTCCTAATATGTTCCCAAGATTCTCCATGTCAAGTCTCATGCCTTACACAAGAAGTTTGCTCAGTCAACTGCTCAGATGCTTGAGAATCGACTGTATTAGGTCAAAAGTCAACTATGGCCCACATACAGTCAAACTTCAAGATTTTTGGTCAACATCAAAATTTTGAAGTGATATCTATCATTTGATCAAGGGTTGATCATGATTCTTCAAGGAATGCCCTAAATTCATCAAAACCCAAAAGTTGCTAAATTAGGGTTTCTCAGGAAAACTCAATCAAACTTTGACCAAGCATAACTTCCACATACTTTATAAAAAAATTCCGTCCAAGGCTCATTTTGAAGAGGATGCAATTCCTTACAACTCATCTTTAGCCCACAAGTTCAAAAAATGCACTCATGAAAAGATATGAATTTCTACATTATAGGTCCTTTTGAAAAGTCAATAAAAAACACCTTTTGGGTCAAAGCTTTTTACATGAACATGGAAGACCTAATTGAAATGAGACCAAAAGGGTTGATTAGGGGACATCCTAAGCTTTCAAAAAAGTCCAAGAACCCCTCTCTAGGGTTAAAATTGGAGGAGATATGCCTTGTCAAAGTTGACCTTTTTTGTAAAATTGTCAAAAGTCAAATATGCTCAAAAGTGCATTTTTTTTATTAAATGGGCTTAGCATTTCATGATTGCACCTCACTTGTAGCATGGTCCACGACCTAAATATCCACCCTCATGTTATTTGATTCATTTTCCATTTTATTCTGATTTTTTATTAATTAAAAATTGAATAAAATCAAATAATTGGTAAATAATATCAAAGATATGTTTTGATATGATTTTTTGACAGGATCTCAATCAAAATATGCTAGGATATCAAGACCAAAACGAGTCAAGCATGATTGGTACAAAAATGGGATAATTTGGCTCAATTTGGAAAGTTTGCATATGGCTAAAGAATCAAATCAAATCTCATCAAAACTTCAAGATCCAATCTATTTTGCAACCCTAATTCATTGAGGGATATATAATGAACAAGTACAAGGCAAAATAAAAGGGCTAGCAATCGTGAAAGAGCAAGAACAAACTCAAAAATCTTGACAAAAAATGTGACTCGGTTTTCACTCCACAGGACCTTCCAAAGCAATTTGAGGCCAGCAATCGCATCCTGGGCGTGCACTGAAGCTATCCCAATCATTTGCAAGGCTTGGAGCATCCAGAAACACGTGTTATAACTCATACGGTTCGCCCACTTTTTCAAAATCGATTACTGTAATTCCTGCATTATTAGCACATTTGATTGACATATTTGTGATCTTTGACATGTTTGCAAGCTGACTGAATAGTTTAATTGAAGTTTTGACGTATATATGTGCAATTGCCATTGTTAGGGTTTTCACGTTCCTTTTAAGGTTTTTGTCCACGGGTGTCATCGTGTTCGTGAGGTCAAAACGAAATGATCAATATATTCATAATTGATTTATCATGCTTGTATTATGTTTTGAGATATTGCAGGCTTATAGCGACAAAAGGTGTCTGTATGTATAGATTTGATGTCTAACGCGACGGTTCCAGGAAGAAGAAGATATGTGGCAGCCAACCATTGGGTCATCTGAATCTCGCGTGTTTTCTGATTCACTTACCTTGTTTTGCATATTATCTTTTGCTTTCACTGTTCTAACAACTA